GCAACAATCGTCAATGGCAACAAATTGGCGACTCACCGATTTATTGCTGTGGTGACAAATCGGCAACATCGCTCCGTTCATGTCAATTTTGAATAAAAAAGTTCTCAAAAATTCCGAAACTTATGAATATGCCGTCAATAGTATTGGCCAAAAGCATCTAAATTATGCCCAAGGACAAGATTGAAGAAATAGGAAGCCTCACAGCGAGAAAATTAATTATTTCCGATTGTAAGTTGCGATTTGGTATACAAAAAAATAAATGAAGTATTAAAAAGAATAAAATTATTCCAAATATCGCCTGAAGCGATAAGAAAAGGACTCATTCAGGTAATAAGAAAACGACTCGCCCAGGCGTGTTGCCTTCGGCGGACGTTTTAGAGCGACCGGTAATAGGAAATCGTTTCGATGGCAATATTACCGGCAATAAATTTGTTTTCGAGGGCGACACGTTTTCTTATTGCCGGCAACACAAATTGTTTGGTGGGAAGTAGCAAGCTTTCCATACGCATACATTTGTCTGTAGAAGATTTTAATTCGTTTGTAGAAGCCTTTGAAAATTCACAAAGTAGAATTTTGGAAATTTAAAAATTTATACAAACAATTTTCTGCTTAGAAATAGAAAACTTGTTACTTCACATTTATGAGCGCCTGGTATTGGGAAAATATCAATTTGAAAATAAAAACTGGCCATAAAGAAAGGTCGCGGGAAAATGGGCACACATTTTTCGATATTAAAAAAAAATTTACATAATATGTACATATGTACATAAATCATTGTATATGTATGAAAGATTCGAACTTTTTTGCAAACATTGAAGCGTCCGGCCAGAAATGTAAAACAATATTTTAAGTATATATTGGAATAAAAAGAAAATGTATGTATTTTCTTAACATTATGTTAAATGCTAACATTTAAAAGAAAAAACTTCATAAGTATTCTTATACTTCCTATGAAGATTTCAAATACTACTGAATGCAATCAACATACTCAAGTACTATGGAAAAGCGGAACAGTGTTTTATGTAGCAGAGCTCTGTTGAGTAACATTGATCGGTACCTCAAATTTATGATGTTCTCTTATTTTGTTCCTATCTTTTTAAGTATTCTAAAATATATGTTCCATTTACTCATGTACACATGTGAAGAGTATTTCTGCTGGTATATTTGCAGTGCTTTAATATTTATTATTTATGTTTATCCATCAACTCTAAAAATTTTAAACAAATCAAACATATGAAGTGTGAAACCCGTCCATTTTGGTATGGAACGCCTCCTATATTTAGACTCTTGCGAAAAAATAAATTGCTTTTTGAGAAATATTTCAGTTTCAAGTTTACCCTGATAATGCATTTCAAATGAACGTTTCTAACTAGCTCATTGAATTATACATTGATCCTTAACGTATTTGTACGTGCATATGTACATACACTTTCAATTTCTAAGTATTCATTAATATTTACATCTACAAACATAAATTTCTGTTAAATTGATTCGCTTAATTTTTTATTCAAATAAGTTTTACTTTTCTGCGTTCTTTTCAATTATTTGTTTACACAATATTTATTTACGCTTTGGAATTAAGAAATTAAGCACAGCTGTGCATTAAAGCAAGACGACCGCAACAAGAACAATCGAGATGAAGCGAAGTTGAGAAAACAAATTTAAACTGCAAAAATGCAAATTATGCTGGCTCAGTGCGGCTACACACAAAACACAGTTGCATACAAACTTATGAGTTTCAACTCATAGCCGCGACTATGCACTCCAACTTAAGTGAAAGACTCATTTTAATTATGTACATATCACGGATTCTGCGAATTTGATGTTGCACTTTTTTTTCAAATGATTTTTTTTTTTAATTTTTTTAAGTTCTCCATCTTAATTTGTCTTGCAACCCACTGTGCCAGAGCTGCTTATTGCTAAAAAAAGTAGTTAGTCATTGACGGCCAATTTCCTGCCGACAGATATGTACATACATATGTAGACGCAGAGATGGGAGATGGGGCTATGAGTGGCGTAGACTGGCGTTTTCTGCCAGCGCAGCTCAACAGGAATAACCGCCATTGGCCGCTGGATGCCGGTTACAACCACAGTGAATGCTGGAGTACTGTGCAACACTTATCTAGACACAACGCAAATTATCTTTGACACTCAATTCAATTTCAATTAATAGAATCGAGTCGCGTCGCGTTACGTCTCCACGTTCGATGGCGGCGCGGCTCGCATCCTCTTCTCATACCTTTCAGCAAGATAGTGCGGGGGGTGTGGGAGGCAAGACTAGAAGTCTCATAAAGGAGTAGAGGTGGGTAACTCAACTCAGAGTTGAGTTATTGAGTTGATTCCTATAAGAGAATCGGTAACTCAGACTCCCTGTCCAAAAAAAATGTAACTCAGTAACTCAGTTGATGCCGTAGGGCTCACTGAATCAATTGAATCATAGTGGCTCATATTTGTCCATATAACTCTCTCGCTTCGCCACAGTGTTTAGCATGGCAAAGTCTTGCATTTTGTTTTTGCACGAGGCGAATTTATACAAGGTGGTGGCAAGAATACAACAAATATGTATGTGCGCCTGGTATTGGGAAATGAAACTATCGTATTGTACAAATAAAAATTGGTTCTTTGTATAAAATGAGTCCACTTTCTTTATAAAAAATATGCTGTTGGCTAAATATTCGGAGTACCCTACGTTGTTTCTCCATGTTTGCTATTTAACATAAGAGTCAGCTCTAACATTAACATTATGTAGCATTAAACGAAAACTTCCAAAAATACTCAAAAAATACTTGTGAAGGAACATCTTTTTTGTGGAAGTTTAACAGCATGGTACTGCTGATTTATGTTCCTCTTTTTTTCGGAACATAATTTGTTTGAGTACTTTTTTTTATGTATACAGCGCTCAATATCTTCACTTCTCTTCCTTCCATGCCCTCTTTGTTAGAGTATGAGTAGTATACATATTTGAAAAAAACTTCACTGTGAAGCAAACTGAATTCCGATGCAGACCTTTAATAAATATATATAAAATTTGAGCTTAATTACTAAATTTTTAAAAACTTAACAGCATAAAAACAAAAACCAATCGATTTAATAGTATTCCAAATATCTCGAGAACGGGGCGAGGAAAAAATCCAACATCAAAATTATCTATGAAAAAAAAATATTTTAAAAATTTTTTTCTTGAAAAATTTTTCACATAAAAATTTTTTGATAAAAAAAATAGTTTTTGAAAATATGCCATCTCCAAAAAAATTGAAAAAAATTACAATGGCAGCTCTGAGTATTGCGCAATATTTAAGTACAGTATTATGGGGTGCACTCTACAATAATTTGAGTTATGAACATTTTTTTTTACACCGAAGTTGAGTAAAATGAGTACATTACAAATTTATAAATTTTTTAAATTTTTTTTTGAGTACGCAGTCTTGTAGCCCATTAAATTTTAGTGTAATAAAGTGCAAATTTTAAGCTACTGCAAAATTTTTTCTTTTTAACTAAAAAAAATTAGAGTTCGCGCAAAGCAGTCAAAGTATTCCATGTGTTTTATATTTAAAGGAAAGCATTTTTCGTAGATATCGTATAGAATACTTGAGAATCAATATTTTTCGATCAATATTTTACGCTAATACCCAGTGGTTCAATTAACCATTTTTTTATAATAAACAATTTTTATAGGTCCTTCAAAAACTAAAAAAAAAAATGCAATAGGGGGACCCATAAAAAATTGTTAGTATTAAAAAAGGGTAAAATAAACAACTGGGTATTATTATTTTTAGAAGTCACCTGAAGAGAAACAAAGATTTTCGATCGAAAGATAAGGCGATATGAAAGAGCATCATTCTAAGTTGAATAAACATGTGTTGATATTAAAAAAAAAAAAATTGGGACGTGAATGAGTTTTTTTGCAAAGAATTGGTATAATTTTGATCCAGTTCTTCAAGTTTCTCATAAACCAATCCCTGAAGTAAGGTTAAAAACAATAATAAATAAATATTATTATGCTAATTTTTTCAAAAAGTTTTTTAATATTTTTATTCATAAAAAACTCTATTTTTGGAGTTATTTTCAAATCTGCCCAGCTCAGATAAATTTTAATATTTTTCCGAAATAATTTGGTGGAAGTCTTCAAACATAATAAATTTTGTAATTCCAGTGGGAAAAACCTTTTTTTGGTGATACAGTCTAATGTACATACCTGCATGTAAAATTTTTTTACTGTACTACATACTTACGGCCACATACTTTTCAATTAGGAGAAAATTTTTTAAACAACTGTTTGACACACAAAGCACATTTATTCAATTCTAACAATTTTTTTCTTTACATAATCTACAGCTAGCAGATAATACTTATTTAACTATGTCATGTCATTATCCAAAACTTGTTAACTTTAACATTTAGACCTCAAACGAAAATTTTTCGTTCGGTTTGGCGGTAGCCAACTGTAAAAAAATAATGACAATTAAATAGCTTAGGCGAGTACTAATGAAAAATATTATGCTGTCGGTACAAAATATAACTAGAATTGTAAACTCGCTCTCATTGAATTATAATTTAGCTTAGGTTTTTGTAAATTAAAAATCTCTTAGCTACTTTTACATAAATTCTGACATGCCTTACTTTGACCCTTGGAACAGAGAACCACTTATATTATCCGCTTATTAGTAAGCAAAATACAATTTTCCTACTCTCTAGGAGTGTTTCAGCTTATTTCAAGCATAACTACATTGCGTTCGACAACACAAAAATTTGTAATTTGTTATTTTTAATTTTTGCAAGTAGCCGTTCGATAACGCAAAAATTATGCATCACTAAAAAATTGTGAGAGCAAAGTGAAAAGAAATACGTTTATTTTGTGCTGTAAAATTTTAGCCAGAGAAAATGTATATAAACAAAGAAATTTACTTTGGTTTTTTATATACCACCAACAAATTTTTACTTTCAGAAATGTTTCTGGCGAGCATTGAACGCCCACTTTCCTTTTTTCTTCCATGGCGGCACCATGAATTTCTGTTTGTTTACAGACAAAATCTAATCAAAGTCGGCTGGTTTGTCTTCCTGCTCCAGTTTTTTTTATTTGCAAGTGATGGCTAATTTTCTGTTCTTAAACTTTTTTTTGTTTTCCTCTCACTTAAGAGAGGATCTTCGCTTCCGCTCTTGATTTGGATTGCCGGCTGGTGATGGCAAATTTTTGTTTATCTCAGCGTAATCGCTAAAAGCCCAAGCTTAAACTACCAAATGTGAAACGTTGCTAGTGTAGCCAGGTGAGTAGCGTGGTGGCAGCATATTTCGTGGCGGTAGCATGTTGCCGGGTGAGCGCACTTTACCCAACATTGGCACATGTATGGCAGGCGAATTAACGCCTTTGGTGGTTTCGTCCATGTAGCGGCGACTACGCAAAATATCCGCATCGCTCTTCCAAGCCTGTTCGGGCGCGCATGGACCTAAGCGCGGGTAGCGACGCTTGTCCACCGCAAAGCTAATCGTACCAGGATTGGCATTTAAACCGACGTTGTACTGTCGTTGCATGGCGAGCGAAGCGCGTAGGGTTTTGCGTTTCTGCAGATGGAAAGCAACGATTAAGAAGAGTATTTATTTACAGACTTTTCTAATTGTTTTTTTTCCCACTTACTTCTATGGTCCCGCGCCACTTGTCTGCCGCATGACGCGCTATGTCCAAACGTTTCTGCTTCTTCACTTGGTGCTTTTTATAGATCACCTCTACTATAATAAGTCCAACACCGCCTGCTACACCCGCAGCGACCAAAATGAAAACGCCAGCCATATTCTGCAGTCCCAATGTGTTTGGCGTCTTCTCGAAGAGTTCGCATTGTTGTGCGTTGCCGTGGAAGATCCAATGCTTATCGAGCGCTTCCATGAAGCCACCTGTCAATATTTAAACGTTTTTTTTTGTTTTCAGTAGTTTACTATTCACTTATCCTTAACATAAATTACAACTTACTTTCATGAAACTCCAAAATGGCGAGCGTAACCGCATCTGTCCATGGGGAACCTTTCTGCAAACCTATGCCATAACCGCTACGACCGAATAATTCACCAGCGGTTACTAATTCGCAATCTTTGGACGCTTCATATTCGAGTCGCGATGAGTCCCAAATGAAGGCCATAAGTTTTCTGTTAAAGAGATGAAAGTTTACATTTCTTTTCTTTACTCCAGCTTCTATTATTTATTCTCACCCTTTCTTCACATCTAGTATGGCCTGCTCTGCCGTATCGTAATTGTTTGCTTCCATTGTACGATACATGTTGGACAATTCGACTTGCCGACGGAAATACATGTCTACCGATGAACCCTTAACTGTAGCGCAAGTTAAATTCTCCATGGTGTTTCTCAGACGCGCATCATTGATGCCACTCAACTTGGTCTTCGGACGTTCCAACACGAGGAATGCAGCCAGATTGGCAGTGTATGATGCGACGATGATCATTGCGAAGCCGGCCCAGAACATGCCGAGCACCCGCGCCGAAAAACTGCGTGGCGTGCCTTCGCCAATACCGCTATTCAAAAGCACTCCCCAAGCGAACCAAATCGCGGAGCTCAAATTCAAAGCTTTCTCTTCGTTGCTATCCGTATGCGAGAGTTTGAAACGTCCAAATGGTGAGAATCTGCAGTGAAAGAGGAGAGAAAAAATCGCCAAAGAGAGAGAGCGGTTGGAGTACTGGTATTTACCTGTTTACATTTAGAGGGGCAGGGTTGCATTTGCAAGCTTAATGAAATTTACGAAAGTGGGAATTAGGGAGATGAAATGCAAAGTGTGCTTCGGCATTCGATCGATGGGCGGCGATCGGTTTTTGCTTTTAGTGTTTCTAAGCGTTTTTCTCTTTTTAAATAGTTTAACTGTTGTTTGGGGAAAGGGTGCAATGGTCGTACGATCAATTCTCAGTGAGCTTTATGTGTTTCTTTATATTTCGGTAAATGATTTTCTAATTTGAGAACTGATCTTGGATAGGGGTGGGGTTGTACGGCCCTACTTACCTATCAAGCAGATATAAGACCAGCGCGACTACATGTACAGATACCATTACCAATATCCATAGCGTGTTGCTGAATGGCTGCAGAAATGACACCAAAGTACTTGAACGGGATGGCTTCTTTTCGAGTATTGTGATGCCTTGGTATTTGAACGGTTTCGAGAACTCAATAAATTCGGCACGCTCTGGATTAATGGTGAGTGGCATCGCCATGTCGGCACGTTCATTCACCAATTCCCCAATCAGACCGCTCCATTCTTTACGTGACGTTATCGCACCCGAAGTGGACGAACTCACATTTTTTAAGGTGTAATGACCGAACAGACCATCGGGTGAGAGTGCCAAATCGAAGGTGAAATTAATGCGATGCGAAAGAGCGTTGAGTAGATCGATGCAGTAGCCGCGACAGCAGTTCTCGTTTTCTGAAAGAGGGAACATAAAACGTGTGTTAAATGCTGGTAAAATGGAGAAATTGTTTTATTGTAATAAGGAAAAGGAAAAAGTAAGCTAAGAAAATGGTCTTGCATCAACCTCCACTTAATCTAACTGCTCGAAATATGGCCGTTGTTGCAACAGCAAGGCTCAAAGAAGCCGGATCATGGATCGACGACCTTAGCCACGCCGGCTACTATCTCAAAACCCATCAGTATCGTATATTGCATAAGAGATACAAAACTGTGATACTAACACGACAGAATTGGTACAACAGACCCCTTCATGTGCCTAATGTCATACATTTTTATACAAATGGCTCCAAACTTTAAGAGAGAATCGGAGAAGGAGTTTTCTCAGCCGAGAAGGTTTCAACTCTTCTATTATCTAAGTTGATTTTATGGAAAAAATACTTTATAAAACAAATTTTATTTATATAAAACACGATTTTTGGAGACCTTTTGAATGCGGTCCAGCTCACGTAAATCTAAATATTTTTCCGGAATATTTTGATATAACAAATTTTATAATTCCGCTGGAAGCTCACGACCTTTTTGGTGAGGCACCCTAATGTACATAGTAATTGCGGCTAACGGAGCTTCATGTCAGACCTACCAAGGGTCCTGAGCCAATGGATCTCTGTGTAGCTGCTATACTGGCGAGAACATCGGTCAATTCATTGCCCATGAGTCCACTATTTCCCGCTACCCAAATTAGGTAAACCTCGTTTCTGGACGCGATGCGTGTTAAGAGCTGAAGGCAATCCCACATCAGCTTCTTGTAAGTGATATTGTGTGATTTTAAGGCGAGGAGCACCGCCTTGTAGCATACTGTCTCAGCTCGGCGCTCTCTACCTATACATCGATAATCGATTAACTGCCTCTTCAAAAAGTTCTTTTGTGTAAAAATCAAATAAAAAGTAAATATTTATGTATACAAACCACTGCCGTCGGTTGCATTGAAAAGTGGACATGGTATCTCATCTTCATCGCAATTCACTTCATCCTCCGTCAAACGGCGCGTATAGACAAACGGTTTCTCTTCGATGGTTAAAATTTTCAGATGTGTGGGTATCATTATACCCTCGGGTTTCTTTTTCTGCTTGCCAGGCCACAAAATTTCACTATCATTGATGCGTAAACGCATTTTAGCTTTCTCCTAAAAAATAAACAAAAGTTTATAAACAGAGTATTAAAAACAGTTAAATTGAGTATCTCAGAAATAAAATTTTTCATTCGAAATAAGTAAGTACTTACAGTATCATAATAAAATTTGCCCACAACATGCTTCTTCTGCTTTTCGCGTATATTAATTACATCATAGCCGGCATAAATGCGATCGCCATTGTCATCAAAGGCCACTTGTCCCGTTTCGCCAGTTATATTCCGCGTTTTCAGATACTGAAATAAGCGCTTGCCTTTATGCATGCGCCCGTTTGGGGATAAGAAGCGAGAAAATTGCAAAATTAATTAATACTCTCAATGCTCAGTGTGTCCATGTGTGATTGTGTGTGTGTGTTTGTGTGTGTGTGTGTGTGTGTGTGTGTGTGTGTGTGTGTGTGTGTGTGTGTGTTCCTTAGACCCACTTTGTGAGTTAATAATTCATTTCAAGTAAACATAGTCTTTCTCACCGGACTCCCAATTAACGCCCGAATCACCGCAATCCTTTGGCGCCTCTGTAATCGTTTCATTGGACATCATCTCCTTAATTGCCGACGCGAGTACATAAACGCTGTCCTAAAAGAGACGCAAAGTGGCAAACGAGACACAGTAAACTGTTTATAAAAGTGCACATACAAGCTGGTTATGGAATGTTTAGTGTAAACATGTAAGTAAGTATATACGAAATTCGTTCATGTAGCCAGTATATTGAACTCCCTGCGGGAAATTGTGAACTATAGTAGAAAATAGTGAGTTCGGTGCTAGTAATGTTACTTAAAATAGGAAATAGAAAGATAAGGCCACAGATCCTTCGAAATCGATATGATGCTCTATCAAAAGTTGTAAAAGAGCAGAAAAAAAACTACTCAGTAGGCTATGGGATGCCGTGCCGAAGTGAGAGAAGCTATTCTGAACAAGGGATCAACAGATGTTTTCAGAGATTAAATTAAATTTAATTAAATGAAACTACTTTTAGATTCAATGAAACTTTATTTAAATTAAATGAAACTTCCTTTTAAGAATGTTTCATTTATTTAAAAAAAAAAAAAGGTTTCATTTATTTCGAATAAAGTTTCATTGAATCTGAAAACGGTCCAATTTAATTTGAAAAAAGTTTCGCTTTATCTGAAAAAAGTTTAATTTAATTTGAAAAAGGTTCCACTTAATTTGAAAATGGTTTCATTTAAACTGATAATGCAATATAATGCGCCCCGTGGCTATCGACAAAAGCCCAAAAAGTGTAGTATTACTCACCAAAGAGCTAGCAATATTCTTTAATATTGCCCCCGTCCCGATTCGAGAGATTGACATTGAAAAGGTTTGCGGTTAATTGAACCTAGATGTTGAGGTTTCTACTTTTCGAAAAACTTTTCTTCATCGAATTACAATTACTTTTTTTTTTTAATAAGTAGTTCTAGGCTAGGTGAGGTTAGAGTGGCTGCCCCCGCGCAGAGTATGGAAAAACCCGTTGTGATACGACTAACACTATCAGCTGATTGTCAAAAAATTTCTCTTATTTATTTTATCTATTTCAAGTTCTTCCATTTATATTATAATTTCTTCCAAATAGAACAATACACTAACCAAAAACACACCCTGCAATGAAAACTCTTACTACTCTACTCTTATACATAAAATACATGTCATAAAACAGTGCGTCTCCGATACCAACTGTAGCCTTCCAGCATTTCAATTTCCTGCAGGGTCGTAATTTTTTGTAGTCTAAAAGCAACNGGTCTCCGATACCAACTGTAGCATTTCAATTTCCTGCAGGGTCGTAATTTTTTGTAGTCTAAAAGCAACACGTGTATCGTGCAATTTTAATAATGTAATGAGAACCCCTTGCAAGAGGCACCCCTTTCACTTGCATACATACATATGTGCATATGAAACTGCGTATGAATGTAGTCGTACCACGTGTTGGTAAATGTATCCTTTTAGTGTACTTGTCAACAAGATGAAAGGAGCCTTGTATTATCCTTTCAAAAATTGTGCCTGTTTTCCAAAGCGTAAAAGCGGCAACTTTTAATTATGTTTATTTTATGCTCACCCTTATGTGTCCTTTATCACTCTTTGCATGCTCCAATACAAGACCCAAGACACCCACTGGCGTGTTATTGGCATGCAACGCCTGTTCGGTCACAATCCAAGCATGACCGGCCTCGGTCATATTGTAGAGTGCAGCGTCACGGAAAATAACCTGTGCATCCTCGGTGCTGAACGTAAGAAATTGAATGGGTAAATAATGGCATTAAAAAGAAGAAAGGAAGTGGAGAAAAATTCACTGTCAGCACTTTTTTTATATATCATTTTTTCGCATTTTCCAACTCCGTCCTTTCCATGCACTCTAACATACATACCTCGCATACAGCAGATAGACACGCGATTGTGCAGTCTTCATGTCAATCAAATGCTCTGTGAAGCTGTCCAGTTTCGGCTCGAATTCCACAATCATTTCAACGGTGGCGCGCACATCGATATCATCGTAATTTGTCTGCGAGGTGGTCTGGAAGCGACCTAATATGGCACGCCCATCCGTATCGGAACTGTGTATTATAATCACCTGACACCCGAATGAAAACAAAAACAAAAGCAATAACGCATATGCCAAGCGATAAAGAGAAAAAAAGTTTCTAGTTCAATATTGAGTTGTGAGTTGTCCATTTTCGTTCACCTTGGTGTAACCGAAGTGAAACATAATTTCCAGCCAGACGTCCGCTTGATGGTAATATGGCGGCACGGTGCGCAAAAAGGAAACATGTATATTCTTGTCGGAAAAGGCAGCATCGCGTGAGGATATACCAATAACTGGTATCTGGTAGAAGCCACTTGTATAGCTGACAGCGGCCGGCGACAAATCACCAGAGGTTTGTTCGTGCGATACAACAACAGCATAGACCTGTAAAGCAAAAAAAGGTGGAAACGGTATTAACGGTATATACTATTTGTCCAGCCAGTCGATGAATTGTACAATACAATTTTTTTTTTAATATTCCTTAATTAAAGTGAAACATTTTAGGGTACTAAAATAAACATATATATATGAGCGTCCTTGGACCATGATTCAATAATAAAAGGTTTGCTCAAAAAACAGTTTTCTCGTGCCCTCTTGACAAAATCGACTTCCTTAGCAAGCCGCTGTGTGTGGGTTCGTGTGTGTGTGTGTGCAAAGCGTTTGTAAGCGAGCTAAGGGAGTGTCAAAACTCGAATGTCACTAATGAGCAAAGCTTTAATTATTGAATCATGTCCTTGGACCACTCTGTATAAGTATTTATAGAAGAAAAAAGAAAAACGAAATACATGATTTTGTTTTGTACATTTGTCTCGCAAATACATATTTGTCAGAAGTTGTGTTAAACTTTTTAATAAAAATCAAAACAAATACGAGTTCCCCGACACCTTTCAGGTAAGACACGTAGTGCTATACCTCTGCAATGATGAGCTTCAATGCGAGTAATCAAACATCGCCCCGATTCAAGCGCCACGAACATTTTGCCATGGATGTCGCTAAAGTATGTAAAATTTTCTTTTTTTTTTTTTAATAAAATGTACACATATGTATGTATGTATGTATGTACGTATGTATATATGTTTCTTTGTTTGCAGCGAGTTTGCACCACCCTTATTACATTGCCGCAGGATCAACGTTGTTCCTATATTGAAACGTCTGCCTCCTGTCAATCGAATGTTTACTTCATTAACTACGCGCATATCATTTTTTGTGTGCTGGAAGTATCCACAACAATCGGAACCGTATTTGCATCACTCGCACTGCTCATGGTTGTTGCGCTTGGCTTCACTATATTAGGTGTCACAGCAGATATATTGTAAGTTTATAATGAAAGACTTGTTTTTTTGCGATATACTGAAGGTGTATGTACTATTAAGAGCTCGCTGTATATACCACTAAGCGTTGAGTATACGCAGTGGTGTCCGCAAATATGTGAAAGATATTGGCCGTCATGCAAAAAAAGTGAGCTTGAGCTCAGACTCAATTTTGCACTGGCTGGTAAAGTGAGCCAAGCTCTAGAATTTGTACTGAAAATCGTGTCGTAGCTTAAGCTCACTTTTTATGCATGAGGTCCATGTACCTATGTATTTACATACATATGTATATCCATTGGCTCGCTTGTATACAAAACTGTGTTCCATGGACTTTCAGTACTACATCGTTTGGTTCTGCATAGTTTACGCACAAAATATGTTTTTTTTTTTTTTATTAGTAATAACAATCCTCTAGCTTTTGTCCCGCTTTAGCTATGCTGGCTCGCATGATGCGCATGAGCGAGAACGTTGCTGGTGTGACATTGGTCGCCTTTGGCAATGGCGCACCGGACATATTCAGTAGCTTGTCTTATCTGAATAGCGATACTCGCCGCTTGTATGCGGATATTTTTGCTTCGGGCCTTTTCGTTGTGCTCCTGGTAGCTGGCGCTGTCTTCTGCACCTTCCCCTTTGCCGCTCAGCCGTACTTGCTGCTGCGTGACGCACTGTTTCTCCTACTGGACGTATGCGTCATTGACTATTTGATTAAGAAGGACGATGCTATATCGGTGATTGACAGTGCAAGTGAGTGAGTGAGTCAAATGCTTAAGACATAATTAAATATCGTCGGTTGAGTGTAAGATCGCCCACCATAGGGCAATCTTCCAATCAGCCGTCGGTATGTGTATCTTTTGTTGGGTTTGTGTTATCGAACATAATTTTTCATTTCCCCATTTAAGTCACACTATGCCTTTACTTTTGTTACTTGTTTGTGGTGCTATTTGATCAGTATTTGGTGAGGCGCGCTACCCGAAGTAAGCTAAACTAAATTTCAAATAATTTTGTATACAAATGTCTATATTTATTTACACAGTGTTGCAGGTTAGGCATACCACTCAGAGGCAAACAATGCTGGGAGGTAAGTTTTGAAATTTATTATGGTGGGTCGTTTTTGAAGTGAAACTTACTTCTTTAGCGTAGGTAGTGAATTAAAAATTGCTACGCAAGTTGTGTGACATTTAATAGATTTACTATAACAGGAGTTTTAAAAATATGCAAAATCTCATCACGTATGCATATATTTACAATAGTGTGATTCATAAAACGTCGCAAAGTGGGATTTTTTTTTGGGTGTTAAACTACGTGTCAGTCAGTGGCGGACGCACGGGGTGTGTTTTAATATGGCGCATATGTATGTATAATATGGCGTCTATGTATTAAAACACCCCCCGTGGGTCCGCCACTGACTGACACGTAGTTTAATCCCCAAAACCCCCCCGCTCGATCCGCCCCTAACGCACATACATAGTTCTTTGTATAAAGTGATATACATATGTATATATTTTTTTCACTCACAGATCTAATTCGACTTAATGATCTACGAAATCAGGGTGCGCTAAGACGGGAACACAATCTATCGTTTCTTGACAATGAAAGACACAGCGAAGTTGTACCTTCATCACAGTCATTAAAAAAGTTACTCTTCCGACAATTCATTCGAAGCCTTAACCCATTTAATCAAGCCGAATGGGAAGATGCCAATTGTCTGATGAAAGGATTCATCACATTACGTATGCCGATCGTACTAATTCTTACGATCCTTATTCCAATTACCGACCATGGAGAGGAATATCATGGTTGGTCGCGCCTTCTGAATTGTGTGCAGTGTTTACTTTTGCCAATATTTATTTGTTATGCTACATGTAAGTGAATTATGTATATATGGATGCATATATTTATGTATGTATGTATGTATCCGTAAATTTCATTGGATTTAAATTTATTTAATATACTAATCCCATATATCCGCTGGGCATATAGAAATGTGAAAAATTTGAATGACAACAAAGGTGGTCATTAAATAATACCCATGTCATTGTTTCCACATAATATTTTTTAAATTTGTAAATACTTTTTGTCAACTCTGTCGTTGAAGTGCCCAGTGGAAATTTGACATAGCATACTATACTTAAGCAATTACAAGGTGCATTCCAAAGGAACTTCTATTAAAAACTTTTTATTCATTTAAGTTTCATTTAAGGCTGTTAATAGTTTTTATTATAATTTCTTTTTTGAAAACGTCAAATCCAATTTGAGGTCATCTTTAGACGTGGCGCGCTCGCGTGGATGCTCTAAAGTAAAAAAGTTATAACAAAAAGTATTTCATATTGGTAGTGAATGACAGAGGATTGCCACCTATTTTAAATATTAAATCCTGTAATTTAAATTGGTATCAGTAAATGTGAGGGCATTTTAAGTAAGACGTGTTTTTAAATAGGGTTGACATTTCTAAGAAAAGTATATATTTTATATTGAGTCGCCTCTTAACTAAAAAGCTAATCGACTTGAAGCTGAAGTTTTGGTAAAGTAGTTGCCCAGAGATCACTAAAGAGTGAATATCTGATTCTTACTTGGTACATTTGCTTCGTCTTCACCACACTTCTATTGCCTCGAGCTTCACTACTAAGAATTGGCTAAATCGTATATTCTATCGATCGTTGTTAAGTTTAGTTAACGTTAGGCACAGCAAACGTGGTAGAGAAGCGTCAGTTTAAGTGGGCATGTGAAGAGGTGGTTCGTGTCGTGCAGGTAGGCTTCACAAGCCGTGCTTGTCTTTGATATGTCCGAGTCGAGTCTGGACAAGTTCAGACGACTGCAGTATCCAGACCTTATTTGAGGCCCGATATCGCGGCAGTTGAAGCTCTTCTGATGCTATGGGTGGTGATTGAGCTCCTGTAGATCCTGTTGGAAGCTTTTTGTTAAGTATGTTGAGGTTGAAGTTTTGCGCTAAGTATCCACAAGTGGATCTATCTGTACTCACGGTAAACAACTGACTAAACTTTGCAAGGGAGACAAAGACATGTGGCGCCAAAGAATCGGTCCAAACCGATAGAAGGTTGTAGTGCCCAAACAAGAAGAATACGTTTTTCTCCATAAGTTTTTGTCCACTCAGATAGAGATTCGCCAGTAGTCACAGTACAACCAAAAGTTCAATTTCAAGTCGTCCGATTTGTTGTCATCCCACAGCAATAAAATTTTATCACCATTTTACAATGAAATTCGAACTTAAACTCGCATGCATTTATTCTTTAGTGAACATGTACTCTCTGTTTGGAATGCCTCTCTTCGTATGGGTCGGCCTAGCTGCGTGCCCGATCGCCGTATGCATGTTCGTTGGATCTACTACAAATCGAATACCTTTCTTTCATCAGGTAAATGATGTATAGTTCTCCAGATATATCTACATATTCGTATGCATATATTTATGTGGTCAGTTGAGCATATTTTACAAAATTGAAATTTTAAAATTTTTCAGTATCTTTCAATTTTGAGCGTCGCCGGTTCGATATTCGTTGTACGCGTTTGTTGCGCTGAGGCCTTCAATGCGCTCGTAGTGCTCAGCATCTTTACTGGCTTGAGTAGTTCTTTCATTGGCGTCACGCTTCTGACATGGGCTAATAGCATTGGCGATTTAATTGCCAATCAATACTTGGCTCGTCAAGGCTATCAAAATATGGCGCTAGCTGCATGCTTCGGTGGACCTATATTTAGTGAGTTACATGGAATCGGGAGCTGGAGTGATACGAGCAGATTTGGAATTTAAGTATACATTTTCCAGATTCACTGCTTGCGGTTGGTTCTACTCTACTATACAAAACATTGACAGAGGATAACTTCCTACTAAAGGTAAAGTAATATTTACATAAATATGTTAAGAGTTTGCATAAATATTTTCTTCTAATTAATTGGACATTCATCTTTTTGCTCTAATTTTATGTTTGCGCATAGTTTAATTTTTTATAAATTTATGGCCTTATTCATAAAAAATAAAGTAAAGTCCCTGCAAACCATTTTATCAGAGTATTCTGAATCGTAAAGAAATTTTAAAGAATTCGGAAAGCTCCCATTCGATTTTTTGCCGAATTTTCTAAAATGAAATAAATTACGCACACTTCCATTCTTTTCCGAAATTTCGGAAGAAAATCGGTAAAGAAATGAAAATAATGCTGCTATGTGAAGAATTTCTTGCAGACTTTTTTCAGAATTTTCTTTATTTTTCGTACAGAAATTTCTTTACGAGTTCGTGTCAACCACTTCATATAGTTTTCTTTGAAGATTCGGAAAAAAATCGTTACAGAAATCAGATACTCCTAAAGATTTCGTTAAGATTTCGGGAACTTTGGTTTGCAGGGGTTATGAAAATGTCATTTTATAAAGCTCTTTAAACCTACTTTATTTTTTATGAATAAGGCCATTAAAATATTAGAAATTAAGTCAGCACCTTGTAAAAAAAAAAAAATCATTTTGTTTTTATTTACCCTACTCTTTTTAGGAATTCGGTTCCGGTATAATGGGCGAGAATGCTACTATCTTTCTCATTATCAGCATTTTTATCATATTGTTGGGCGCTTTAACTACAGATTTCTTTTTTCGTCCCAGTTTTGGGATATATACTATTATAATGTATTTTTTATTTTTCTTTTACAATATTCTAGGCGAATTCGATATTATACATCCATATGGCACTGATCATAGAATGGATCAACGTATTGAATCAGAACTGTGATCGAAGTAAGAATGTATGTACTTATAAAATAAAATAAAATGTCAGATATACTTACACGCTTTTCAATTAGCTTATCGCAAACGTTAAAGACTGTCTTTATTGGATTCTTATCCATGCGTATAGTCTTGTCATAGTAGGTAACTTTACGTGGCACATATTGTTGGTCAAAATTGAGGTGCTGTAAAGATTGTGAAATTTGTAAAATTTAAATAAAAATAATCGCAAGTTAAATACGCACACATATTTTAGTTTAATGTTAGTTTATGTGTGTATATTCATGTACATACATAGCGTCATATCTTACCGCTATTGTTGTTCGGAAGTGTGCCTCGCTATCCGGATCCGTGAGTACTCCCCCAATATTATAAGTTGACGGATTATCGGAATGTTGTATGTGTTTTTGTGCTATAGCACCTAAATGTATGCTACAAATAAGCAAACATGCCGTGCTGACGTCGATCAACGCCTTCATATTTGATTCAGGCTGTAGACGTGGTACAAGATTTTACAAGTGAATCATGACAGTCAATTCTGTAAAAGAATAACGAATGAAATAATTTAAATACAAAATATTTTTTCTATAAAAATATTTTATTTTAATTATTGTTTGCTTTTTTCAATTTAGCTTATTTTATTAAATATTTATTTGGATATGCCTACATATATTTTTATAAATTTATTGTTTATTATTATAATTAAATTAAATTAAATTAAATTAATTTAATAATAATTTAATTTTACTTTATTTAATTTAATTTATTTTAATTTAATTTGATTCAATTTAATTTAGTTTACTTTAATTTAATTTAATTTAATTGTATTTTATTTTATTGTATTTTATTTTATTTTATTTTATTTTATATTATTATATTTTTATTATATTATATTATATTTATTATATATATATATATATATTATATTTATTATATTTTTTATTTTATTATTTTTTTTTATTTGATTTGATTAATTTAATTTAATTTAATTCAGTTTAATTAAATTTAACTTAATTTTATTAAATTGTAGTTTACTTTATTTTATTTTTATGTAATATATTTAAATATATTTGTTTACTTTGTTTTTGTTTGTATTTTGTGTTATAATATCAGTAAATCAAATATTATTTTTTATTTTATTTCACTTTATCAAGCTTAATTCTATTCCACTACTCTTTATTTTACTTTACTTCATTTTATATTCCCGTTCGTTTTATTTTATTTATATTTCATTTTACATTAATTAAGTATGTATTCGCCATTTATTTTTTCCATTCTCTTCTATTTTACTTTATTTAATTTAACTTTACTTTACCTTATATATTTTTTCCCCTTATTTTATTTGTTTCGTTAGACTTTACCTTATATTATTTTATTTTGCTTTATGCATTTTGTTTTAATTTTTTTATTTCTTCTTTATTTTGCCTCATTTTATTCTGTATTAAATAATTCTTCCTCTTTTCGCTTTTTAAGTCATATAATATTATTTTATTTTATTCTAATTTACATTATTTCATTTTATTCCGTTTTATTTTATTTATTTCATTAATTTTTTTAATTTTTTTTCCCATTGAATATTTATATTCTCCATTTTATGTCTCTCCATAAATCTGTTATTTATATTTAATATTTTAATTTATTTTGCTTTAAATTATATCAATTATCCGTTTTTAATAAACGCATCGCACAAAATATATTCCCTTTTCCAACACTTGCATTGTGTTGCAACGCCGTTCAATTTAGCGTCAAACAGCGCAATTATCTTTTTGATTGATCCGCTCTCAGTCACGCTCTTGCGATCATATGTTTTTGACATTTCCAATTCAGCTGACATTCTGATTAGACAGCTCGCTTATTAAAACCACTTGTTGGATCTCGCAGTTCCGTCTCGATATAATTTTTAAACTATAATTTTCCTCTAAATTTTTCCGTTTCCGCGGTAAAAATATGCACATTCGTTGGACTATAGCACAGAGCAACTAGCTGAGTGAAAATCTACGGTGTTATTGGCTGCAAAATTATGAAATTGGCGTATATAAAATTGCTTTCATGTGGGTGTGTGTGCTAGTGGAAAAAAGAAGAGCTCGTTGCGCTAGAAAACACCATACGCAAGTAAATGCATTTGAGGCAACAACAAAGACAAAAGAAAAAGGGCGAACGGAGCCTCCATACGGGCACATAAGAAACGAAAATAGTACTTATAAATAAACCATCAAGTCACTTTTCCACTTGAGCGCGAGTGTTGTAGCTTAAGAAGCTAACATTTTCTTGATGCATGCAGTCGGGTGTGTTAGCAGAAAACCAACTGGTACATAACCGGGTCTTCTTCGTTCGTTCGGCAACCATAGGTGGTAAACGCAAGGCGCAAGACGCATATTCATTGGATTCTTTTTCTATAATTAGTTTCGTGTTTTTGTTTACATGCCACACATTCGTCAATTGCCGCATCCCTTTTGTTTATTATTTTATCTGTGAGCATTTGTTTCTGTATTCAACAGAAATCGTGATTTTTGTTAAACAATTGAATAGTGGCGATTGCTCTATTGACCGTTGCGCCAATGTATGAGCAGCCGTCCGCGAAATTGTGCACAATATTTTTAAAAAGTTGACAACTAGTGGTCTACCTAGTGTATATATCAAAGTTTTAACAAATGACTGGGATCTTCAACTAAGGTTGAAATGTAAATTTGTAAAACCAATGATATAAGCTTATAAATTAGTGTTTGACTTAAGCATTCCAATAACATTCCAATCAAACGTGTATGCGGAAATCGTTTTTTCACGCGAGAGCTTAACATTCATTCCCACACATCTTTACAGGTGAGTCCTTTTTAAATTTTTATACGCAAGTACATACATACATATATGCAGGATAGTGGTGGAAAACTATCGATATTACTATTGATGGTTTTCTTTTTACTATCGATAGTTTTGCAAAACTATGAGTATTTTCACTATCGAAAATTTTCCAAATTTTAAGGCACCATAATGGCTGAATGGGCATTTTATAAAGCGGCAATACTCTTAAATAAAAGAATTATAAGCCCGGGTAGACGTTGTCCTGCTACACCACGATACATAGGCAGGTTACATGCATCGTAGACATTATGGGTCTTCACACCGAAGCTTGGTACTCGGTAACATGGGGTTCGGTAATTTTTTCCCAGGCATTTTGTTTGTGTAACCTTATTTTACACAAACAAATTACATTAGAAAAAACTACCGGATACTGAGTTACCGAATACCGAGCTCGGAGTGAAGAGCCATATTGTTTCTTACGTTTCATTTGATATCGAAATTCACAAAATATTCTTATTGTTCACTACGTTTGAAAAAAAACGATCTCTGGTTACGGTTCAAACATCAGCCAGGGGAATGGATAACATTGGATGGTGTGCAAACGGTAAATTTTTTGTTGCTGTTGATATGCGCTTGCTTATATGTAAAAATTCATACTACATTATTTTGTTGCTATCCTACCTATTTCTCCCCAACATAAACATACTTATGAAGCGTAGCCGCCAATAACATTGGTAAACTCTCGCTTCGGATATGGGCAGATTGTAGTTAGCGTAAACGAACATAGCGACACGGGATTTTTAAGAACGTTGCGAGAAGCATAGAAAAAATTTCGATGAAAAAATAAATTTTTATCGGGTTCAAAACTATCCTATATTTTAAGTTGGAACCAACAGTACACACCCACAAAATTTCATTGAAATCAGTTAAGCGGACAATGAAATACGACATTCCATATCCAGAGAAAGCAAAGTTGTTGCAGGCATTACTACATTGAGAAACAAGAAAATAAAGCAATGCAGCACGTTATCCCATTAATGATAAAAAAAAACAAATAACTAAGGTAGACACCAACAATTGTTTTTTTTATGTACAAGTAACTCGGATCCCAATCAGGTTATATTGGTTCTTACACAATACTCACAGAATTTAATATTGCACCTAATAGAAAACCGTGTTGGGAATATAATTTCGACGTCGGAGATGTGCTCATTTGAGACAATGTGTATTTTCTATTATAGGATCTCGGTGGGTAAGCCGCTCTACGATGACTATTATATATCATCGATCACTAAGCAAAGTCAGAAAAGTATCCGAAAATATTGTCTTTCATCTTTTCAGATGGCACTAAACAAAGCCATCATGTACCTAATTAAAAAACAGAGCTTATTAGAATACGTCTAAAGTATGTATGTACATTACGGTGGTCCAAAAATGTATGAGGAAAAAGTGAAGTCGGAATTTTTACGCTCGCACCTCCTAGGGTTGTTCTATACGGAAAAATATAACCTTATTTTTTACTTTGAAATTTCATATGGGAAAAACAACTTTTCGTAGAAATAGTATAGAATTCTTGACAATTAATATTTTTCGATCGGAAAACACTGCTTCTTTGCAGGAGATTCGCTACAATAATACCGATTGTTTATTTAACCTTTTTTTCATAATAACTATAATTTATAGCTCCGCCAAATACCCCAAAAATGCAATGGGGCAACAATAAAAAAATCATTAGTATTAAAAAATAGTTAAATAAACAATTAGGTATTATTATTGAAAGTCTCCCGAAGAGAACCAGAGTTTCCCGATCGAAAAATATTCATTTTCAAGAACTCCATACCATTTCTACAAAAAGTTTTTTTTCCCCATATATAAAACATGGAAAACTTTGAGCGTGAGCAACAATGGCGTGAAACTAAACGCTTTTGTCATGTGCTTGACAAAAGGCGAATAATATCAAAATATGTAGATATGTACATACATACATAGCAAAAAAAACATTATATCTTGTTCATACAATGCACCTGAATATATACAAACATAGTAGACATATGTTTGTATGTGCGTACATACCTATGTAAATGTATACGCATGCACATACATACTAATAACTATTTATTTGAAAATATTCATACATATTAACCTAAGGGAAAACGCTTATGAAAACTTAACAAGCCACGGACATTTGCATTGAAAGCAGCAGGTTATGAGTATGCACTTTTGTATGATTACAAACACATAAGTATGTACATAAACTGACGTTCGCCATCAAAATATGCACTTTTAAACTTTTGTTATATTTAAAAACTATGTACATTTCTTATAACAAATCTTATCCAAATTCAGGATAAGCTAAGAGGTACAAGCTGGCGAGTCTATACATATAAATTGCTTCGGATAGGCTCATATTTTCAGAAGCACCGCAAAATAAAAACTTTCGACCTTCCGCTTCTCTGGCAGCGAAGAAGGATGCGGAGCAATCCGTGTGATCGGAGCCCAATCACAGCCCATAGCAGTCACGGAGCTTCAACTGCCAAGAGGGACCCGCGTTACTCTGGCCCAGTTACGGTGTGGATATCGCTACCTGCTACCTTCTGAACAGATACCTATCCAGACTCGACCCCAATATCCCCAATGAGTGCCCGGCATGCCGAGACTCCCCGCAAGACACAACCACCTC